ATATCTAGTATTCAAATTACACATTTTTGCGTAAGTAATGATTCACTTTTGTAAGTTGTAAATTTGCTAATGCATACTTCCCTTATATTTCTCATATTTAAGACTTCAATTTCTTTTCTTTTTTCGCAATTTATTTTTTATGAGATGAAACAATTCGTGAAATCCATTTATTTTATGCCTTATTTCAAAAATAAGCAGATTTTTCTCAACTCTTGTTTATTACGGGCATACACCTAGCTTCTATAAAAACTAATTGACATGAATTTTGATTCACTAATTTTGAACAAATAGTGTTAAAAAAAATTTAAGTAAAATTTTATTTTAATCTTTGTTTTAGCAAAAATAGGTTGTTTATTTTTTTCCGATTTAAAATTTTGCTGGTGATTTTATTTCACCAAAAATTATTTTATTTCTCACATATGCTCAATTTCTAATTAAGTTATTATTTTTTTGTGAAATTTGGTACCTAATGTTTATTAATGTTTTAAAGTTTTAAATAATGCTCTGAAACTTTGTATTTCCATGCTTGGATTCGCCTAGCACTATTTTGAAAGACAAAATGTTTTACGCCACCTTTAATATTTCTGCGGAAAAACGAGTAATTAACGACTACAAAACAGTTATGAAAAGTCTTTTTATGCCTCTCTATATACCCTACTTCTAATTATTTTTTTATTCTAAAATAGCATTACATTAAAGTGATTATAAAAAAGTTTCAAAGAAAAAAATATCGCAAAAATAATTATTGAATAAAAATTTAATTCAGAAATGCTTCAGTATTCTAAAGTTACTACTTTTCATAAAATTTTCTAACTCATCATTATTTATGTTTTAAAATTTAAAAAAAATACTCTGATTTTCTATTCTTCCATGTTTGGATTCGTCTGGCACCATTTTCAAAAACAAAAATGTTTCTATGGAAATACGAGTAATAAACGACTGCAAAACAGTTATGGCAAGTCTTACAATAAAACTGCATTATCTTTTAAGTGATTATGAAAAAGAAAAAGAAACTCAAAGAAATAATCATGACAAAATTAATAAATAAGCAAAAATATAATTAAGAAAGGCTTAAGTATTCAACGTTTTGAATTAAGATCAATCTTAAATCTCGCTGGAATAAAACAAATATTTGGCGCAATAGCTAAAATAGTCATGTTTCCTCTCCCTTAGGTAAAAACCAAAAGATGGACAATTTTTTTCCCTTCCAAATATTAATTCACCTCATTCGAATTTAATCAGACGACAGGTTTGGGACCACACACCGTGATCAAAAAACCTGTGGGCCATTTTTAAGGGCCCCAAGTTACTGGACCTAATCATAGGGTTTATCACCTACCTTGCAATATGTCACCCCGATCTTATATTGCACCTCATTAAAAAGACCTCAGAAATCGGCTTCGCCTCAGCGGAGAGGAACTGATTAAAATTTTGTCCTGATTATTAATATTCTATTTTCTTTTACAAGACGTAACTGAGCAAAAGCATATCTCTAGAGGATTTTTTTCATCTGTAATTGCGAGTGCGTATTTGAATTGCATGGTTTACACTTTAGTTAAAAAAAGCTAATCAGAAAACGTTTTCAATCGAATATTAGAATTCTAGGACCAGAAGAAAAAATAGGAATTTCGCTTGGGTGTAATAAGCGTTTATATTTGTAATCAATCATATATTATTCTATGGTTAATATTTATGCATAGAATAATATATGATTACTAATACGGTTCACTTGCCGAATATCATAAAAACCTTTTTTTCGAAATTCATAACTTTATATCGATAAAACTGTGATCACAGTGTTCTATTTAAAATAGTTGTTGAACAATTATGATTTTTTAAAAAAAAATCCCTTTTGATTACAACAGTAGAGGTAATAAAATTTAGTTCCGAAATTGAAGATGGTTTAAATTAAAGTGATACCTGAAAATTGAGTATTTTGTTAACTTTCAATTAAATTAAAACTTTTTTCGAAGTGAATTGGCTAGAGCAATTTAGATTTTAAAGTGGTGTTGCGATCACTGATAACTGCAACTGCAGTCAACATTTAATTTAATTGTGCTTTGTCCAATTTAAAATAGTTGTTGAACAATTATGATTAAAAAAAAACTATCCCTTTTGATTACTACAGTAGAGGTAATAAAATTTAGTTCCATCCGAAATAAAATTGAAGATGGTTTAAATTAAAGTGATACCTGAAAATTTAGTATTTTGTTAGCTTTAAATTAAATTAAAATTTTTTCAAAGTAAATTGGCTGGAGCAATTTAGAATTTAAAGTGGTGCTGCATAACTGCACTGATAACTGCAACTGCAGTCAACATTTTATTTAATTGGGCTTTGTTCAATCGAAAAATATTTAGATTAAATCCCGGAATAATTTCTTTTTGGGATTAAAAATCGAAAATTGAGAATTTGTTTAGAAGCAAAATACGAAATAATTTTTATTTTTTTCAGAATGTAAAATAACATTTGAAAAATTAAACATTAAATGTAGCATTTTGGTCGCCAGGAATATATATAGAAACTGTAATTTTCATTGAAAAATACCCATATTTTCACCCAAATATTTATATAAATATTTTCGTAGTTTTGATGAAACCTCAATTTTACATTTTATGTAAATGTCTTTTTTATATTTTGCTACTGCTCTTTTAAATTTCATATTCCTAAACGTGAAAACTAAAATTTGTTACATTGATTTGATAAAAAATTTCTGCGTCCTTTTTAGTCACACGCTCTTAGATTGGCCCTTGGACTAACAAATAACAGTTTACAAAAATAAATAAATAAATAAATAAATGAAACAAATGTGAGTTTTGTTAAACCGTACAGTATTTACAATGAATTTCATTGTATAGAAGAGAATTAAAATGAAAATAAAACAACTAATTGTTTTATTTTAATTAAAATTAGAATAAAACAAAGACATGAAAAAACCATGAAATAACTGTTGGAGAATTTTCTTTTAAATGTTTATGAGGAGTGTAACTTAAAATTGCGAGCCTGCTGATTAAAGTAAGGATGCGAATAAATTTATTTTGAAGCTATCTAAAAGATTAATAAAGAATAATTAACATTCTTTCTTAAACACAGAATATAAAAATATGTGATCCAAAACTCAACTAAAAATTAGAGACTTATTACATAAAATTAACTTCATTAAAAAAAAATTTTGTTAATACCAACGTCACTTGCACGGTTAAAGATTTCGGATAAAATTCCGGTAAAAGTACCGGCACTTACGGTGCCGGTGCTTTTTACCGTAAAGTTCTTTTGCACTGGAATCCATTTTTTATATTACGGAATAAAAAAGATGATATATCGTCATTTTTACAGCAATAAATACAGTAAAATCACTGTATAATATTTTAAGGTTTAATACTTTACGGTAAAAATAGATGGATAATAATGCACCCAAATTGTTAATACTTTTAACAAAAAATTCTTTATACCACAATTTGTTCTGGAATTTCATATAGTGTAGAGAAACAAGTCTTAAGTTAACTCGGTGACCTAAATCACCCTGGTGACCTAAATCACCCAGTGTTCGCTAAAATAACTCAGTTATGTACTTTGTGTATCAGAAAAGTACATAACAAATATATATATTTTATTTTTGAAATATATATTTTGAGTAACATAAGAGGAATCTTCAAATCCTTGAAAACTATATCGTATTATTGTAAATAAAAATAATAATAAAAAAAAAACTAGAATTTTTTAGTTTTTAGGGTCACGAAAGGTATAAGCTTGCTATTTAGAAATCTCGGAGTTCATCTAAGTTTCTACATTTAATAAATTCCCTACATTTATTCAGTTTTTTGAAAAATTATTCAAACAAGTGATATTTTAACTTTATAATTTTATAACTGTCTCTGAACAGCCAATCAAATTGTGCCAATCAATTACGACCAATCAATTACGGCTACCTCCACTCGAAGCTACCGGCCATTGTTCACCTCCGTAGCCTTTTAATTTTGAACCCAATTCAGATGACAAGGGAACTCCTGTATAAAGTATTGGGGAGAATTCGCCCTCGTGGAGGGCTTTTAAGGAAACTAACCCTCATTTGCGTTACACGGAAAGAGAAAAACACGAAAACCTCCCATGGTTAGCCCGACAGTAAGGGAACTCTATCCCATGATCAGTAAACCACTGAAGATGCATTGTGGTTGGTGTGAGCCTGGTGCGGAATTCGTATCGGTCACCAGCAGCTGGGATTCAAACCTGGTTTACCTCATTGGAAGGCGCATGCTCTATCCCCTGAGCCACCACGGCTCAAACTGGTGATATTAACACGTTTTATTTTAATAAAAAATAGTTAGGTATTGAAAAAAGGAATTTTAAAAATGAGTAATATATTTCCCATTGTTTACGGGGGGGAAATTTTTTGGTGATATTACCATACTGTAAAGTAATGACATTTCTGGTAAAAAAAAAAAAAAAAAACCATAATTGTAAATAATTAAACCAAAATATGCGATATTTAAACCATTCATTTGGTAATTTTTCTGCTCTTATGGTAGTGGTTAACAAGAAATTCCGGTTTTCAAAATTACAGTCAGTTCTTATTAACGCACATTTAGTAAAAAAATAAAGTACTGAAAAGTAAATGTAACCAACCGAATTAATAATTTTTATGCCATGCTCAAGGTATCATGATAAAATTACCAAGTTTTTCCACATTTACCGAATCTAATCACATATTATAAAACCATATATTGTTAATTTTTCAAAAATCATGATCAAAGAGCTTTGATAAAGAATTACTGAGCTTTTAATTGTAAAAGCACGGTAAATTTTACCTTATTCTGTAAGTTTCAACCATACTTTTTTTCCCCGTCCATAATTAACATAAATTACTCGAAGCTCTAGGTTCATAGATGAAAACAAAAATATTGTTTCTTTAACATTTATTCCATCTAGTAGGTTTGAGATTTCATATCTATATGAAAGTATCTCAATTTTAACATATCATAAAAGAAAACGCGAGCATCATTACATAAAGTCAACTGTATAAACATCAGTTATATACAACTGAGCACATTCTAATTTTATACTTTAGTTACTTTATTTGTTACTTTAAAAAAAATGATGTTTCTGAAGAGTAATGGATTTTTTTTCGCCATAGTTTTCATCGTTTCTTTATTAATCGAAAACAGTAAGTTTGACCCAACTTTGCTTTGCCTTTAAAAACTGTTAATAATATTAATCTGTTATTTATATGTAGTCAATATCAACTTGCGTACTTAAAGTTTTTATATTATGATTGAAGTACAAGAATTTTATGAACTCAAATAACATATAATAAATATAGATTTAAAGGTTCTGTAAAATATAATCATTGAGGGAATTTGAAATGCTTGATAAATATGGAAGATTGAACCAACCAATTTAGTTTTGTTGAGAATGTCATAAGTTATTACATCTTACAATTTTTTAACTTAAAAAAAACAACTTAAAGTTAAATTTTACGATGAATTAAAGTTAAAGGTTTTATTTGAATTATAGTTAACAAACATTGAATTTAAAAATAAAAATGTTTGCTACCAATTTTTAATGGAAAACTGTAAGTTTTCTAACTATTGATAACTCAAAATTAATATCAAATTTATTTGAAATTCCATTTTGTTAATAATTAATGTTATAATTTAATGCAATAATTTTATTTTATACATTAGTGCATAAGTTATTCTACATTCCTCCACATCTTTTTCATAAAATTATCATCGATGCATAGATTGAAAAACAACGTATTTACATAATTAAACACATTGCATTTATATAATTCAGATTTCATGATTCATTTTACTGTAGGAAATGTATGTTTGCTGAAATGTTGATTATTCGATATTCTCAAATCTTCTATAAGCACTAACAATTCTAATTTGTTATATATCAAGACAATTATGTTATAAATTAATAAACTTATATTACAATTAATTAGTAAAATTAATGAAATTATTTTATGAATTAATAAAATTAATTCATTAATTAATACAATAAAATTATTACACAAATTAATACAATAATATTGATATTTTTTATAAATTAATACAATTTTGCTATAAATTACTGACTAAATCTTATAGTAGTCATTTATTTGCTTTGATTAAACACTAATTGAACATTTTCTGCCTTAAAGATGAATGTAACGTAGTTTTAAATTTAAACATAAAAATTCTACAAGAAATTATCAACCGATTTAATTAATTAAATTTCAAATAGCAGATGCAATAATAAACGTTAAATAATCTGTTTTATCGCTGTTTTCTAACGTTTTAATTAAAAAAAGATTAATGAAACTAGTTTAATATTAGTTTATCGTATTGCAGAATATTTTTTTTTACTATGCCATAATTGAATTGCATAGAATTGTATTGAAAGAATATCAGCTTATATGAGCTACTAGAGTACCATAAAATATATAAATAGATAATACGATTAAGTTATTAAAAATCGACATAATAGATAAATTAAAAAATGATAGTTATTTATTATAAAAAATTCCTTAAATGGAAATTATAATTTTTGTTATCTTGCGATTTTCATATGCAGTAAAAACTAATATTTCAATATTTTTAAATCCATTTCCATATTTCCTTATTTTTAAATTTATATTTTTCCACTAAACTAACTTTTGACATCATACAAATCATACTAAGAGTATGAGGTGCAAAAAGACCCTTCAATAAAGAAATAAAAGAAGAATTAATTATCTTAGATTTTGTGAAAATTCTTAAAAACTGATTTTGCTGTTCAGTAACTTCAAATAATTTACCAGAAATATTAATCAATCTCCTTACAAGCATTCATATAATGCTTATTTTTCAAACACTGTCTTTCTTAGTTAACTGAATAAATGTCCTATTCCATCATTGTTTGAATTTATTGCAAGGAATTATCGAAATTATCACTCTTTTCCTATTAATGGAATATCAATACCCATCGACCATATTGTTCGGACTTCGCACCCGGTGACTACCATTTGATTTCTAATTTTAGATGTAAAGGAAGTTAGCTCTTTGAAGTAATGCAATGTGAAGTTCAATGTTTTTTTTTAAAGACATGGCAGGGAGTTAGTATGGCATGGTCATACAAAAACTCTCACACCATCTTCAAAAATAAATGCCTCAATGTTGAATTTAGACGGAAGTTTAACCTGTAAAATGATGTAAATATTGCAGAAATTAAATGAACTTTGTACTTTTTAAGAAATACAGAGAACTTTACTTTTGAGATTTTCTTTTCACATTACATTTAACAAGAAAAATTAATTCAAATGTGTACGTATACAATTGTATCTCTTTTAAAGTATTATTAATCTATTTCTTAAATGTCTTACAGATGCTGCTGATGCAGGTAATTCTTTTTAACTTTTACAAACCAGAAGCTGTCATAAATTTTTATTATGATAATCATACTTTTATTTTGGCAACTTTTCAAAAGGTAATAGTTTTTCAAACCGTTTATTTTTTTATATCAATCATACTTATTAATTGTTTGTTTTCCAATGACAAATCAATCTTCTTTAACATTTTTCATGTGTCCTATGACGTGAAATACTAACGAATGTCAAAGGTTTTTTTATTGCATTTCCAATAAATTACAAATATTTCTTTTTTTTTTAAATGTAATGACACACTTCATGACTACGACAGATGTATACACAGACTTTATGAGACAATCTAACGGTCTCGGGAGCTTTTAATATGATTCTGTTAGATACGATTTAACTTCACGCCAGAGTCTAGAGTGCAAAAAATGAAAAAAAAAGGAAAAAAGAGGAACACCCTAATAGGTAATAACGTAATGATTTCATTTTCAAGTATTATGATAAAATCTTAATGATTCGAACAAATTGCCTTAAATATACACACACACACACACACACACACAAAAAGATTTATGAAAAATTGCGCAATCGACATTTGAAGTAACGAAATCAGAAACAAAAATGCACTTTCTCTGATTCTCAACATAAGGGAGATAAACAGACTCGGCTAAATACAATAGTTGACTCTTAATGGATGAGACAAATTTTTATGGCTATGGAACCCTAAATGATCAGCATTCTTCCAATGGAGCCCTAGCTCTAAAACTAAGAATAGAAAAATAATTGTGAGCGTATTTACAAATAAAAGACTGCCTTACTTTGTTGTTGTCTTGTCGAAGTAGTGCAAAGGAATAAAATGGCACCAAAGCCTTCTAAACCAGTTCTGGTAATATCAAAGACCTTTGCCTCAAAGACTTTAACCTCTAGGGGTACTGGATAAGAGATCGAGCGTTCACTGATTCAGGTCAAAATTACGATCTGTGGATGAATGAATGGATGTATGAATGGAATCGCCCTGTAAACGGGTGCGACGTATGGTGTGGCAGAAGTCGAATTCTTGGCCATAGATGGCGCCACTGAAAAACAAGAGACGCACACTCTGCCTTAAATTTGCTCGGTTTCACCAAGCAGGCTTTACCGTGTGGCAAGTGGCATTAGAACCAACCAACCAACCAACCTTTGGCGACCAACCAACCTTTGGCGACAACCAAACTTTGGTAGTTTATTTGGTTTAGGTCTACACTGCTTTACTTTGGAAATATTTAACAATAAGAATACCATTTTTTTCACAGTTTAATCACGAGCCATGGTGGCTCAGGGGATAGAGCCTTCGCCTTTCAATTAGGCGAGCCGGGTTCGACTCCCAGTCCATACGAATTCCGCATCCGGCTTGCACCGGCCACAGTGCTGACGTAAAATATCCTCAGTGGTAGACGGATCGTAGGTTAGAGTCCCTTGCCCTCAAGGTAATCATGGGAGGTCTTCGTGGTTTTCCTGTCCATGTAAAGCAAATGCGGATTAGTTCCATCAGAAAGTCCTCCATGAAGGCTAATTTTTCCTAATACTTGATCCCTTGTCTTCTGGATTGGGTTCAAAATTTCAAGGTTATGGAGTTGAACACTGGTGGCCGTAAACTGAGAATTCGGCCTGCTGCTCAACGATGGCTATAAAATAAAATATTTTTATCATTAATAATCTCAAGTTAGATTTTATATCTGATAAATGACTCTAAATCCAGTCTGAGTCTGTTATTTGTGTATTCACATATACTTAAAATGCATGTAATATGCCGAAATATGGTTTTCGTTGAAACTAAAAAGAACTGCTACAAACGTTGAAAATCACTAATAGGGGAAGATATTTCTGTATTTGTTATCTAGTTATTTTATTTCGGTATGAAAAGCATGATAGGAAATACTAATGCAATATTTTATAAATGTATGCTTTTTAGTTTATTCAATGGAACGATTCAATTCTTTGAAAAATTAGGAATTTTTTTGCTTGCAAAAAGATACTTAATTTTTTTTATTCGCATTTTATTGTGAATCATGTCGTAAAGGCAACCAAAATATTCTGTAAATAAAGGATTATTGATTGAATCTAAATATATTTACAGATTAAAAAAAACTCTAACTCTCGTAACCTGTTTACCCCTTTCACGGAACCCTAGGGTTCCGCTGAACACTAACAGGGATCCTCTGGTTAAGGCATCAGAAGAGTAGTCAATAGTCAAAAGTTTTGGCTTCTTGATGTCACTTTTTGTGTAGTTCACCATATCTATAGAACTATTTAAGGTAATAAAATGTTTGCGCGCAATTATAAAAGTTACTTATCTAAACATAAGTCTTAAAAAATAAATTGTTATAATTTTTCGTTATTTATAATTTATTTTATAAATTTTAACAAAATGTCAATTTTTTTTTTTTTTGATTTATAATTCATTTCTTACTACATAATTTTAAATGAGGAAATCTGAAATTTAAACAGAAGCTGTTCTTTTATTGTTCTGTTCTATGTGCAGTTACGGTTTTCAAATAAATGTTCATAAATAAGTCTTTAGTTTTATTACAAAATTAGTTATATGTAAAGAGCTAAGTGAGATTTATATTTGTAATCAAAGGTACTTAACGACAATTAACACCCAACCTATCAACATTAATCCTAATTAACCCAGACAACGCCTATTAGCACAGAAGTTCACAAATATTTAAGCATTTAAACTTGGCAGCATTCAAATTTAAATAAAGGCTTCTCTAGATATAAAAGTACTAAATTTAAGTACTAAAGTACTGAAACTAAGTGTTTATCCAAACATCGTTCTGAAAGACAGGCAAAATAATCCAAAGTCATTATGATACATAATACAGTGAAACCTCTCGAGAGCGACCACTCTCTGTTCCACAGTAAAATGGTTGTTAATGGCTGGTTCTAATGCCACTTGCCACACGGATAAGCCTGCTTGGTGAAACTGAGAAATTTAAGGCAGAGTGTGCGATTCTTGTTTTTCAGTGGCGCCATCTATGGCCAAGAATTCGACCTCTGCCACACCATACGTCACACCTGTTTATAAGGTGGACCCATTCATACATCCATTCATTTATCCACAGATCGTAATTTTGACCTGAATCAGAGAACGATCGATCTCTAATCCAGTACCCCCAGAGGTACTGATTTACTATGGGAACATGGAGGACTTTGAGACTCGGCAGAATTTTAACGTGCATCAGTCACCAACTACACGGGGTGTCTTCAGCCGGTGGGGTTCAAACCCACGAACTCTCGGATATGGGCCCAGCGCCCTACCGACCAGGCTATCCCGGCCTATGGTTGTTAAGGGAGGTTCTTAGGGATTACAGCCATTGACTTCAGAATGTTATCGAAGGTACGTGATTTTTCGCAAACGATTTTATTTTCATCAGTGTCATTTTTTGGTTCTACCTGTTATGGCGTTACGAAAAACCGGATCAATGAAAAAAAATTAGCGTCAATAAGAATGATTCTCAGTTATATAATCATTGACTAAAAACAAATTTACCAATCATGAATGATAGAATTATTTTAAATAAATAAAAAAAGTATGTTTTTCTGTTTGCGTTTGTATATAATTTTATATCATGAAAATTTGCTTGTTTGAGATGCTTAGTTTTTTTTGGAATAAATTTTTTTCTAAATTAACTTTCAACTCTAAAAATAAATCATAGACAGCATCATCTTCAGTGCCATCTGACTGCAACTTAAGGTTGTAGATTTCTTTCAGAAATAGTCAAAAAGAGCTGTCTAAAACAAGAGCCTCATGCTAATATTTTGAATACATTTAATCTACATATTTGTTTAGTTAATACATTTTAATTATATATTTTTTCGTGTTTTATTATTTGACCTATTCCGCATTTGGTGCAGAAGTTTGCCCGGTAGCTGGGAGAGGTTTTGGTGATCTCTTTTAAAGGTTTTCGTTAATACGAAGTCTATTAAAAAAATTCGGTGTCTCCTGAAAGTAAATATAGGAGTAAATACAAAAGTAAATATAAGTAAATATCCCTCGTAAATGTAGGAGGTCTCTACTTAAGGGTGGTCTTTCCTGGATGTTTCACTGTTTAACCATTCTAATTTGGAGGTTTGTTTGCAAAATAAACAACCCGACACAAAGGTACTTCATTCTATTTTGGAACAATGTTACACCAAACAATGACTGTAGTATGATAGATATTGGATGATGTTTCAAAAATTAAGAATTTATGAATTATGTTCTTTATAACACTTGAATTGAAAAAATTTGAGCCAATATTTTTCTGCTAATTCAGTGTGTCATCTTTTTCAAAATTCTTCAGATAGGTCATGCTAACTATTAAAAGTATTTTATTTTCAGAGAAACTTCACAGGAAGAAGAAAGTTAAAGACGAAAAAAAAGGTAATTAATTTTCTTTTAAAATTTCTTTGCTTTATTTAATTTGAATGAGGAAAACATCTTCTAAAAAGGATATGCACGTTTCAAAAATTGTGGACTTTATAAATAATAGATTTTCCATGGGTTCTGTTTACTTTATAAAATAATCATCTAAAATAAATAACTGTCAGTGTTTGAAAAATTGCATTACAAAATTTCGAGTATTTTTCTTTTTCTTTTTCTTTCTTTTTTCCTTTAATTCTTTCGTTTATTAATTCTTTCCATTTTTATTGAGGAAATGAAGGTTATTCCTCGAAACTATTATGTCAAGAAGAATAAAAAAAATACACAACTTAAATTCCTTAATCTCGAAACAAATTAAACTATTTTGATGAAAAGAATTGTTGGGACATTAAAATGGATTAATAAATTAAATATTAAAGAAGAACTATCAATATTTTTGTAAAAAATAGCCAATTTTCTTAGTTGAAAGTCACTAAAAAATCGATGAATTAATTTTTGCATATTTTTATGAGCATTTTTTTATTTTATCTAAATTTTTCAAATGTTAAAAAACTAGATCGCGATCATTTCCTCTCTTAACTATTATCTTTCTGAGAAATGAAATTTTGCACAATTTTACTTATTAAAATAAAAGAGCTTAACTATTACCAATGCTGGAATTGGAAAGACAAAATTTTTTAAAGGAACTCATTTTTTACAGAGTATATGTCATAGTAGACTGATATTTATAAAGCCAAAAAAATGATTAGTTTAAATTACTTGCCCAGCTTTAATTAAAAAAGAGTAGACATTTATTTTAAATAAGGGGGCTCGCTACTAATTTTCATTATTATCTTTAATGCATTCATCAAAAAAGCTACTGATAAAATAATTGTCTAAACTATATAAATTTTTATTAAATGATTAAGCACACAATTATTCTTTATCCCTTGAAAAGTACTATGTACTATTTATTTGTTAAGCACATTTTATTTGCGAGAGGGTAAAATATGTATGTATGCATGTTAGAAAAAAGGGATACATATTTGTTTTTGTTAGAGTTTAACAATAAAAGAAGTTCTCATTTGTAATTATTTATGTTACGTACTATAAATGTGTCTTTATTCAAATAGCGAGTGAGTGAGCTCTATCAACCCCTCTTTTCTAAGTGCTTGAATATAATTATTTGCTCTTAGACTGGTTCCTTTGCTTACCAGATTTCAAAATATGTAAAACAGTGTTGTAAAGAAAAATAATCCCATTGAAAATTCAAACTTTTACAAAATTCGTGAAAGTAATTAAAATTAATTAAAAGTGACTTCATTTAAAGATTTTGTCCCATTAAATACTGGTAAATGTAATTTAAATATTTAGTTTGATTACTTAGTTTTTCAGCTACATCAAAAATTTCAAGCACTATGAACATTTTCGAAATTATTTTTTTTTATTAGGACTATTCTCATTGCGTCTGTTTACAGACGAGCCTAAGAATTGCATGAATCAGATTTAAAAGCTCACTTGCACTTTCGAATCTGATTAGTGCAATTGGCACTTCTGTTAAAGCGAGAGAAAAAATTTCCCAAAGCTAAGCAGAAGTTTTTCTTCACTTCGTAAAAAATAAACAAATAAATAAAAAAGAGAAAGAGTGAAAGGGAGAAAAATTTTATTGAAATTTTTAAATATGTAAATTTTTTTTTACTCAGCAAACCAAGTATTTCGGCGAACTGCGTTCCTCTCCAACTATAGCACTGAATGTTACAGTAATAAATATGGAATATTTTACGCTGCAAAGCATTATTTCATGTAGGAATTAGTCTCCTTAATTAGTATGAAACAAAACTTCAACCTTTTTCTTCCTTTGAAAATAGGAAGTAATTATCTACGAAATACTTATAATAGAAAACTGTTAATTTTTATAAAAGTGTAACTTATTTGAAAAATATTACATTATTTTAATGCAAAAATTAATAGAAAACTGCTCTACAAAAATTTTTCACACTGTGAAAAAAAAAATTTATGCAACCCTTGAAATATATACTGAAAAATTTTGCTCTGTTATATATTTCTAAAACACTTTTAATATTACTAGTATTATATATTAGGCGATTTTTCAAGCATTTTAAAGAAAAACACAATTTAAGATAACTCAAATCTTTGCAAAAGAATTCAGTATGATTAATTTTAAAACAAGAGTGGACCCATAAACGCACATTACAGTTTTTACATTCATACTTAGATTCTCGTGTTTTTTGGTTTGCACTGCAAAAGATGCACTTTCTATTTCAGTTTTTTCCCCCACCGATTTATTAACCGAAAGTCTTTTGACTTGCAAAACATAATAAGCGCCTTTAAAATACACGTTTAGTGGCATTAATTCAATATTGGCCAATGGACTTTTAGCCAGCTTCAGTTTGAAGCAGATTGGGCCGGTTAGAAAATGATATCACGTTGACACAGGCTAAATAAAGCACTTGTACGCACAGGACATTGCGTGAATGCTGGCTAAATACAACGCTCGTAACGAAAAAGTTAAATCTTTATATCGTAATACAGGTAATTCAATACAAATCGTTGATTAGTATTAAATTTTTCTATTGAATAGCATTTTAACATAAGCAGAAAATAAAAATAATATTAACCAAAGAATTCCTTACAGCCGGCACAAATATTCAATTTTTGTATGCACTGGATGTGAGAAAACGAAAAAATGCTTATGACTGGTTTTTCCTAAACCTTGTCCATTGCTTAATGACTGTATTCAGGCAACACGATTTTTTTTCATTAGATGTAGGCAAATTTTTTATGTAGCAAATCTCATGAACCATTGACATTATGAACCATTACTTTGAATATCTACATTATTTAAGTGTTGGATAGTTTAAAGATTACCTTTTTTTTTTCTTTACAGGCAACAGCTCAATGACAGGTAAACCATTGAGGAAAATCCTTAATGGAGGTATCTTTTATTGTAATAATACTAGCCTATTAAAATCTAATTTATTAGCTCTGGTGGAAATACAAACTGAAAAACTTAGAACAAAAACAATATTCGTTAGCATTTGTATTTATTGCAAAGATTTATATTTGTATATACAGTAAAACCCCGCTATAGTGAACACGGTTTATAGTGAACTCCCAGATATAGTGAACGAACTGTTCGGTCCCGTGCCTTTATTATACACGCATGATGTTATTTTTCGTGGATATAGTGAACCAAAAAAGTGAGAAAGTTGGATATTATGAACTTTTTTCTGTCCTCGACTGATTTTTCCTCTTCATTTTTTGGTAATAATTTTGAAATGTCTACTTCAAAATAAATACTTATACTGATTTTTAAAACCATCTATAGAGCGAAATGTAGAGATAAGCATCGTTTCTTGTTTGCTTCTTTTATCTCACTTTCTTATTCTTAAATAAGGCCAACCCAATAATTGTAGTATTATTGGGTATTATAATTGTAGTAAGGACATAATTTTCCCTGAATCAGCTTCGCATCAGCTGAAGATTACTAATTATTTTTTTTGTACACAGGACGAAGGATAATAAAAATAAAAATAAGTTAGCCCATTTTTTGTTACTACGTATTATTTTTCAGTCATTTTTGTATTTCATTTTATTGGTCATTTATTTAAAAAATGTATAATAAAAGGAAGGAGTTCAGAAACATTAATTAAACTTGTTTGCGGAACGGATATAGTGAATTCCCGGTTATAGTGAACCGAAATTTCAGACCCTTGAAAGTTCACTATAGCGGGGTTTGACTATATAATTCAATAAAGTTTTTCAAACATTATTTAGCGTTGAATAAAAAAATAACTATAAAAATATTAATAAAATAATTAACCTCACTGAAAATAGTCATGTGCACGAGTTCAACATCCCTCATAACTTAATCAGGTTGATTAAAATGGCAACTTCATCTACTAAAGCGAAAGTAAAGGTACAAAACAAAATGTCCAGGGAATTTGATATTGTGACTGGATCGAGACAGGCGGTGACATTCTATCGACCTTGTTGTTTAATATATGCCTTGAAAATGTGATGCGTAACACAGTATCAAATTTTTGGACCTGTAAAAGAGGGTGATATGTGGAGAAGGCGATACAATTTTGAAATTGCAAGGCTATTTAAAGAAAAAGATACAATCAATTATGTAAAAGCAGAGAGAATTCAATGGCTAGGACACCTTGAGAGAATGGAGGAAAGCAGATGCACTACGAAGATATTCAAGGGGCAGTGCCAGAGCCAAAGGAAAAGAGGAAGGCCGGCCAAGAGATGGTTAGACGAGGTGGAAAAAGACCTTAAGATTCTAAAAGTCCGAAACTGGAAACAAAGAGCTAAAGACAGGCGACTTTGGAGGAAAATTGTTAGTGAGGCCATGGTCCAACATGAACTGTAATGCCAGGGAGTTAGTTAGTTCGAAAATAATCATGCGGGTGACTGACTTAGCCTGTGTTTCTATTCCATAAAATAGTAATAAAAGTACTTCAATCGCCTTTTCTAAGTATCACTTAATTAACATTATGCATAGTTTATGCGTTATTTTAAACTTTTGAAAATTTTGTGTTTCCTAGAAGAAATGAAGATATTTAAATCAAAATGTCATTTTATTCTAAATGAGCTTTTAATTTATTCAATAGTAGGAGATATTGGTTTGGGTAAGTTAATAATGTTTTTTTTTATTTAAATAACTCCCAATATCTAACGAAAAGTCATTTCGAAAAAATAAAAAATTCTTCAAAAATGAAGCATTTAAAAATAACAATAATAGTACTTTAATAATCTTCTTTAGATAGCAATGAAAATAAGTAAATGATTTTTTAAACAAAAGTAACCAGGTTTTGTCCTCTGTTAAAATCTGTATTTATATGTTAGCAATAAAATTTAAAACTGCATTAAAACATTTTCTGAAATGTAGGTGTTTCTGCCAAATTAAATCGTTTTACTATTATATGTATGACAAATTAATGAAAGTGAATTCATCTGCTTTAAATCTAAGTGGATGATAATATTCTTACGCATGCTATTCAATCTTTTGTTATATCTTTTTTTCCTCAATTTTGTCAAACATATGTATCACAAACAAGATTCTAAAATTAAAGTATCTTTTGAAATTATAATACTTACGTCCATTTCCGTAAACACTTTTATTTGAAAAATTCTCAAAATTCTACTGTTTCCTGAATTTTTAATACGGTTTAATTCTAATGTTATCCTTAAGCTTAGCGACGGAAATATTTTTTAAAAAAGTAATCATGGCTGTTTTTATTGAAGTTTACTCTATTTGTCTTTAAATATTCGGAAAATAGGAAACGATTATGAGCAATAATTAAAAAATAAGAAAAGACAATTTTTTAAAAAAAATGCAGTAACCACGTTAGTTTAAAATTGTAATTTCGTAAAAAAAAACTATTTGGAAATCCTTAGAATATAAATAAACATATTTAGTTTTTAGTCATAATAAGCGAATATATTAATAAAGGAATAGAATTTTTTTAATAGCAAGATATTTTAAAATTATGTGTTAATTAAACATACAAGCAAGTATATTTTATTAAAGAGCATGGGATTGTTGACGTGTCGGATAATCACTCTAGGTGTAAAAGCATCTGCAATCAGAAAATTTAATCTGAAATATTTAAAGCATTTAAAAAGTTGAACAAATTGTATCAAACTAAATTTCATAAGTGAAGAAAAGAAAACTAAACTAGCATGTTGCATATACTAGATAATGGTATTTTACGATAGTGATGTAGCATTACTGATGTAATAGTAATGATGTGATGATCAAGTAAATGTGATGTAAATGATGTACTATTGTATTATTACTGATGAAATATTACACTGTTATTACAGGTATTTCTATTATTGAAAAGCTCCTATAACAGCTTTCCGAGTTGAGTAATCTGCACGATGAATATCAAATATGATAATATCGATATCATTATCTCCAACGATAAACATTATATACAATGGTATCGCTTTGGTTATCAAATAATTTAATTTTATTGCTCTACTTACATGCCTAGGCTCATGAGTTCATTATAATATAGTCTCTTTATCATAAGCCCTCGTCAAGTTTAAGAAAATATAGCACAAGTTAGAGAAAGATATCAGCAAGATATATTGAAGGTTACGGCGAGATTCAAACAAACCAACAATGATGAATACATGCATCTCTATCATTATCGACAATGATAAATAGATGCATCTCTTTCATTATCGATAATGATAAATAGATGAATCGTTATCCTTATCGACAAAGGTTTAATTTTATTGTTATACATAAGCTGAATTATGAACTCAATAATAAGTACGCATCATAAGCCCTCTTCAAGTTTAAGAAAATACAGCACTAGTTAGAGAAAGACAGCACCAAGATATATTGAAGGTTACGGCAAGATTCAAACAAACCAACAATGATGAATACATGCATCTCTATCATTATCGACAATGATAAATAGATGCATCTCTTTCATTATCGATAATGATAAATAGATGAATCGTTATCATTATCGACAAAGGTTTAATTTTACTGCTATACATAAGCTGAATTATGAACTCATTAATAAGTACGCATCATAAGCTCTCGTCATGTTGAACTAATAGCACAAATTAGAGAAATAATTCATAAGGATACATTGAAGGTTACGACGGGATTCAAACAAATCAACAATGATAAATATATGCATCTCTGTCAATATAGACAATGATAAATAGATGTATCGCTATCATTACGGTTTAACTTCATGAATAATTTCTCTAACTTGTGGTTTAAGAACCCGGCAATGGTTTAATTTTATTGTTATACATACATATACAGGATTGTGAACTCATTACTTAGTACGTATCATAAACCCTCGTCAAGTTGAACTAGTAGCACAAGTTAGAGTAATTATTCATTAAGATACTGTCAAGGTTATGAAGGGATTCAAATAAATTAACAATGATAAATATATGCATCTCTATCAATATCGGCAATGAGAAATTAATGTACCGCTATATTTATCGTTAATGATTTAATTTTATTGTTATATTTTCGTTTTGATAAAATTTTGAAAATTAATGCAATAATTCCGTAAATTAATTGATGATTTTACAATTCCGAAACGAATGTGGTAAGTGTTGTTTTAATACTTGTCGAAAATTTATCAAAACATAATTTTTTTTTTAATTTTACAGTTAAATTAAAACATTACAGATTTCATTAATTGGTGCCTTGCACATACTGCTTTTCTTTTTGAGTTCAATCCCATGTTCTTTAGTAAAAGTTTCGTTGTAACTATAAAATGTTATGAAAAACAATTCACGTTTTAATAGTCCTAATTTTAATATATTAATATATTTTTAATATTTCCTATTACATCAAAAGTTATGTATAACATACATCTTTTCGCAGGTGCAACTCATGCAGGTAACATACATTAGCTCTTTAAACTAAAATCTTAATTTTATGAATTTGAAACAAGAAGCCTAAATGAAAAAAGAAATAAGTTTAAAGAAAGAATCATTATTTCTTACTTGATAAAGTTGTTGATTCTAGCTCACTGTGCTTAAATATAAATTTTTAGTTAAATTACGGACTTCTTTATCTTTTGCCTACGGCTGGTGCAGCATGTGGACCACATGTGATGGTACAACATGGTACACCATAAGCAAAGGGTTAAAAAGCTTTGAACTTGAAGATTGAAAAATGTACCTTGTTTGGTGTTAACTCTTTTCTTTCATTTTTCCAGTAAGAGACTTAGTACATGGTAAGAAATCTCTTTCTTTCATCTATAGTGAACTATCTACATAACACAACCATCAAATGAATGAAATTAAGTTTCGAAATAATAATCCCTAGGACTAACTCACAACTAAATAGATAGTAACAAAATCGCAAAGATGCACTTGTCAATGGATAAACGGTATTGCTTCAAAGATTACGGGGAAAAAAGCCGAGTACTCAAAACAAGACGCTCATTATCAAAATTCAACGATATATGAAGAAAATAAAATCGATTTGAAAAAAAAGGGCTATGTTTTGAAAGAAAATGGTTGCGAAAGCGGTGTCCAAGTCGAACAACGGTGGCTGAAAGAGTCAAATCGGGACATGATACAGTTCTAAGTAGAACGAACGGGTGCTGAGGACTGTCGTCATTAACGAGGGAATCAACTTGCATATGAAAGAAGCAACATTCAAAAGCATCAAGATAAACTGATGCAATAGAAATGTAAAAATTTTGGCATTATCGAAGTTTAATTTATGTCCAACTTTCCAACTATGTGCGGAAATCGAAGATTTATCTAACTTTGGATGACGGACATATTAGTCGTGTACTCCTAAATTTAAATTTTACAGCTCGTCTGGTTTGTCTAATGTAATCAAGGTTCAATTGAGTGCAAGGTATGCGGTATATTCCACAGTGATTATCGTTTTTATTAAGATCTTCAATGGACTTTAATTTTGCTAACAGGCCTGAAAACGACTTTAATGCCAAAAAGGAACAGGCTATTATCATTTGTTTGAAGCAAACGCTAGAAAAATACTTTCGTTTGCTACAAGTGCAATTTTGTTGCATTATACGCATACTAAATACGCATATCTACACTTTTCTAAACAATCCGCATTCATCAAAAAAAAGAAGTAAATAATTCAGCCATTTCTTTCTCATATTCGTGTTTGGCTCATTGAATTAATTAGGATTGACTAAATCATTTTCAAAAGTAAAATCCCTTTTGAATTTTTGTTGTTGTTGACCGGTTAGTGTAATTCGCCTGAATCAAAATTAATAAATGTTTATAGACTCTGAACAACTAACTAAAGTGATGAAAGCATACTATTATGACGAATATCTAATTTTAACAGAAAAATGTTCGATTCACTATGATTTTGCTATAATTTTCTCAATTAACAATCTTTTATACTTTTAGTAAATTTTCTCATGTCGCCACATGTTTACTTGCGTTGGGGATGAATTTACGTTGAATCAACGTTATGTGGTACTTGTCTCTTTTCAGATTTAATTATAACTCGGAGCTGGGGTCTGTGCTCGTTACACTTGCCATACCTAGCAATTGCCAACCATCGCTGTTCTTTTCAGATTGCTTTGAAATTTGATCTTACTTCTCTCGCTTATTGGATACTTTTGTATTTCATTCTAGCTTTTGTATGCATGCTGATACACTTTTGCAATATGGAGTGCCAAAAATATGTAACACATACATCAAGTCAAACAATTAATTTATAAACATTTCATTAATTCTTTATCATTCATTCAAATTACGATTTTATGAATATGAAATTACAAATTTCAGTATTTAGGGATGCAGCATTTCTTTATTTTTACTCAAACTCATAAAATGAGTGATAAACCAAAGGAAATTGTAAGAAAATGAAGAAGAAAAAACATAGCTGTCCGATCATCTACGATTAAACGCATCTATCTTCCTCTGTAGCAGCTTTAACGATAAAATATAGCTCTAAATTATTATTGAAAACTAAACTCAGTGGCGCGACAGCCCCTAGAGGGCCAAGGCCTACTGCACCCATATCAGTTTTCTTGACCTTGGACTCTGGGGTGCAGGGGCAAGAAAACTCCGGTCAGGTGGTCAGCCGAACGCGGAACCCCCAGTGTTTAGTTCCCAAGCATGCTTGGTACTCATTTATCGACCCACTGGATGAAAGGCTGAAATTATTATTGAACATTGGTAAAATATTTTTTTAAAAAAAGTTCAGGAGTTCCATAAAATTTAAGCATCATTAAAACTAAACGTATTAAGTAACGGAAGTCAGTTTCTGTAAAGGAAAATCTCTAAATTTCTATTTAATTTGCGTAAATTGATAAGCATAATTAAGGCAAAGATATATTATCTGCCTGTTTTCTTAAAATAAACTTCCCTTATGGCTTATTGTTTGCTTTTTCATGCTTAGACTTCTCGCTCTGTCACTTGTTGTTTCAGGCTGGTATTCTTTTTTAAAACCTGCAGAAGTTCGCAAATATTGAAACTGTTAATTTTTTATTTCTACTCAACTCATAACCTAGTTCGCTTATGTTTTTCTGAGCCCGTGAGAGGAAAAATAGTTTTTTTTTATTCAGAAATGTGTCTTTTTTTTGTCGAATGCCTGTTTAGGCAGTGGGAGTGTGATTGTTCCTGTCTTTCAGTGGCGCCATCTATGGTCAGGAATTCGACTTCTGCCACGCCATTCACACAACCACAACCCGTTTATAGGGCGGGTCACATTCACACCCATTCACGCATAAGGGAGAAAGGACATAGAACAGAGAGAGAGAGAAAGAAACATCCATGCCTTGCCCGGGATTCGAACCCAAGACCTCTCTGATGCAAGGACAGTTCCCTGCCCCCTACACAGGACGGTCGGCAGAAATGTGTTTACCTACACGCAAAGCATTCCTGCTTGGACTGCTCACTTACTTAATTCAGCTCCTAATAACTGACAGTGTAGGCACTGGAATCGACAAATTAAAACAACTCACCGAAACTCGAGACGTCCACTTACAATAGATCCCATCCCATGTTGGTGTCCCTGGTAATGAAGTCGCAGATAATCTGGCTAAAAGGGGCACCACTGAAGTTGCAACATCTGACTACCCCATTACCTATCAAAAGATTTTCTCTCTGAAGAAAAGCTGCCACAATCAAATATGGTTAACCCTTCTTGTTCACCACTGGTTTGGCAGAAAAAGCCCTGGTGGTTCTCAAGAGTTTAAAGTTGATGAATCGGATCAAATGACTGCTTCGCGAATCATCAGTGCCCATTTAAAATGCTTAACTTTCAAATTAAGGTACAAAGTCTTCTCAACATGTAGCAAATGCAATTTGAAACCAACTTCCCCCGAGCACATCAATGATTGTCTGGAATTTTCCTCAGAGGGCATTCTCTTGCATCTTTTGATGAGTGATTTTGCCAGAGCTTTTGGAGTCATGGATTTGATAGAGCTGAGGCTATATTGTGAAGGAGTGGAAGCAACAACAACAGTTCTTTGTTGCCAACGCCAAAAAGAAATATTACCCATTTTCTTAAAAACAAATCTACATGTGTTGGGGGGGGCGACCATGCCAACCTTTATCTATCAAAAGGTACCTCGTGATTGAATCAAGTTAGCATGTCTTATATATCAGTGAATTGATGTTTAATAGTCGTTGCGGTAGTTACGCCACACATGCATACGCATTAGTGTTTTACATAATAATATATTGTATGAAATATTACGCAAAATAAAATTTGTAGTAAGCTTTTATTGGATAGATTATTTTTAAATGAATGAATGTAATGTTTTTTTTTTCAAGAGAACGAAAAAATAATTCGAATATCTTATTTCAGGTCTCCTAAATTTTGGTAAGATTCTCTCTCTTAATTCCCATTAGCTGAGCAATTTTCATTTTATTACTACTGTTGTAACTAATTGCGGTTGAAAACATATTCCATTACTTATTAATGCTAAACAAAAATAATAAAAGATGAGCGATAACTATCTGACCGAATTTGCTGCGAGCTCAAGGTTATAGATATAGGATAACTTGAAGGTAATCATACACCCTATTACATATGGTTTTCTCTAACTGACAAGGGTGTCGGTCAGTGATCAGTTTCTGTGGTGGACAAGTGACCAGTTTCCCCATTTAGGGTGCAGATTGTACCAAATTTTGTTTTCACATATATTGGTCTTCTATCGGATGATATTTTGGCCAGGTTTAGTTTTATTTGCTTTGCTATTTATTTTCATTGCCAAAAAGGGAAACATTTGTCCCTCCAATTGTTTCCCCCAGTGCAGTTTATAAGTAGGTGCATAAATTTTAGATTTGTGCAATTATCTCCAGATAATAACGAAAAACGTAAAAAGTTTTGTACACAGTCTTAAAACTATTAACTATACTATAAACTATTAAAAGTATTATTTAATCTTTCTTAAATCTCTTAGTTATTACATTTTAAAATTGGTCATATTATTTGAATTTTGCTTATCTATTAAACCCCCGTAGTTGCTTCGCATTCATTGTTTTTTTCCCTCTAAAGATTTGTAAAAAACATTTTGCGCATAAAACTATTATTATCATAATGTCAGATTATTTGAATTTTCCTTTGATAACCATTATAGGTTGCTCATCTCTTAAACCCCAGTAGTTGCTTCACATTCATTGTTTTTTTTCCCCTAAAGATTTGTAAAAAAACATTTTGCGAATAAAATTATTATCATAATGTTATACAAGCACATTTTGTCAACATGTTAATCGTAGCGAAATGTATGGAGATATAAAAAAATATTCAACTGTACTTGAGAGGAAGATTAAATTTAGGAATACAGATTGAGTGTCACAATATGGAGAAATACGAGAGATTTTTAAAAATTTTGATGCTATAAGATTTATATCTGGCAACAAATAAGCTCTCATTTTTTTTTTCATTATATATATATGCAATAGAGTCGTTACTTTTGAGCGAGCTTATAAAATGAAGATCTCGAAATAGATAAATTTTCTACAACAATAGATATTATATATTAGATAATAGATATTATATATTATATATTTAAAGCAAAAAAATTAAGTGAAGTTGTAATTATTTTCAAACAAATCGGAATTTCGAAAAGATTAGAACTTGTAGTTAAAAATGGCCCATTCAGCACTGCAAATTTCAACTCTGTAGCTGTATTCTTGCTGCCAGCAAAGCTGCACTCTTGGTATTTTTTATTAAAAGTTTAATGAGTTTTTTAAGCATTATAATTTTTGTGAAGCAAAACAAAATATACAGTAGCTAAAATATTTCATTATCTTATTATTCATACAGTGGCAACAATAACTGGTAAGTAATTGAGATTTTGTAAAGTTCTTTACGTCATTCGCAGTAATTAAAGCATCTATTATTGAAAAAATACAACATTTTTTCTTTCTTTTCCGTAGTAGTGCTTGGAAAAGGTAATTATAATTTAATACTATATATACAGGTTGCCGTTAAATTGCCTCTGTCGAAAATGTTGCCATCAAATTATGAAAAAAGACTTTCTATATAAATGCCATTTTAATAACAAATTTTTTTTATAGAAATTACTGTAATAATAAATTTTCGTTCCGATAAATAAATTTTCTTGCAAATAAATTCAATAAAAAAATATAATAAACGTAGTTTTTTTTTTTTTTTTGGATAAAATTTAAATAAAATGGTTAAATTGTTCAAAAGAATTGAAAATCTGAATGAACACATTTACTAAATAAATATTTTTATAATAAATAATAATTACAAATTATTTATATTTTATATTTAATATTATATTTTATATTTAATATTATATTTTATATTTAATATTATATTTTTAATTAATAATATTATATTCATAATTATAATTAATAATTATAATTGCATTTCATATTTATAATTATTAATATTTTGTATTTATATTTAAATTTTTTCCTCTTACCACGATTTACAACTGCCAGGTTCACAACGACAAGTATGCTACTCTGGTTTAAATTTTGATCATCGCACTGCCAACAAAATTAAAATAATTAAAACTTTTTTTTTTAAATTACTACTACTTTTTTAATGAAGAACTCCTTTAAAAAGCTGCTTTTATATTAAATAAGCCATTGTTTCATATTTTTTTTTAAAAAATTTTATAAATATGTGAATTTAATTAATTTGTATAGAAATATTGCATTTTAATACAAAAAAATTTAAATGAAAATTTTTCATTACTTTTTGTTCGTTTTTCGACTAATACGATTGAATTAAAATAAATTCCCTTTTTTTAGCAAATAAATTTTCTTTTTGCTTATCTATTTTAAATACAGTTACTAAGTAGATGCGTTTTTTTTCTTTAATAAAATAAGGAACTAACGCATTTACAATAATAGCATCTGCCTTGTATTAGGATTGGATCGACTCACACTTTAAACCATAAATTCGTTTACTTTCTATCACTTAGATTAAACATATAAAATACAAGCACTTTTCAAGTCTGCTTTAAGTTTAGAAGATTAATTGGTAAAGATTATATTTTTTCTAATTTTCAAACTTTTAAAATTGCACATATTTATTAGTTGAATAATTTTTATTTCCTAGATAACCCTCTGACAAGTGAGTAAATATTTGCTTTTCTATTTAAATCCATATTTTAAAAGGCAAAATTAGATTATTAAAATCATATTTAAAAATCTAATTAAAATTATCCAATATTTTTTAAAGTAAAGGACAGTATTTGACTTTGTTTCAGACCAAAGCACGTACTTTTTTGTTAACCTTTTGAAATTATGAAAATAAATAAGTAAATAACGCGAAAATTTAGCAATTCCGAAACAAATTTGACTTTTCGAAGGGGAGTAATTTTTCTTAAATCTTTAGTCATAGTACCTTCAATACGTGGTTGCAAGAAATTTTAATTTTACGGCTATTAGTTTTTCTTTTATATCAAAAAATTCAAACAAAATAAAAGAACATCAAAAGTATTTATTTCATTACTCAAAATCTAATTCCAAATTTAAACAAAGCGAAACAAATTACTCAATTGCAGCAAATCAATAAGATTTCACAGCTGCAAAAAAAAAAAAAAAAAAAAAAAAAAAAAAAAAAATTCAAAATCTAAGTACTGTAAGTAATTTTAAATATACTGAATAACTTGGCCCAAAAATATATTCAACTTTGACGCAAAATAGCTCTAAAATAATGATTGCATTAGTAATATTTTTGATTTCAGAATGTTCTTTAAATATTTCTCTATCAATGTGAAAAATTTCCTATTGTTTCTTATCCAATATTTTAGAGTTATGACAGTGAGAAGCATGTTCTGCTAAAATTTCCAAACAACGGTGATACAGCAGTGAAGCACTTTTTTTTTAAAAAATTGAGAAACATTAATTTTGTTGCTTACTGATATCAAGAAGGCTTAATTGTTGGATTAGAGTAACAAATAATTCATTCTGTCTAAATGAAGACATTTTATATTTTATTTTATTATAACCGTCGTTGAACAGCCGACCCAATTTAATAGGTTTACGACTGCTAATGGTCAACTCCGTAGCCTTGTAATTTTGAACCCAAACCAGAAGACTAGGGAACTCCTGGATCGAGTATTGGGAGAAATTTTGCCTTCGTGGAGGACTTTTTGACGGAGCTAACCCGCATTTGCGTTACATGGAGATGAAGACCACGAGAACCTCCCATGGTTATCCTGACGGCAAGGGGACTCTAACCCATGATCCGTCTACCACTGCGGCTATTTCACATCAGCACTGTGGTCGGTGCATGCCAGCAAGATGCGGAATTCGTATCGACTGGGATTCGAATCCGGTTCGCCTCATTGGAAGGCGAACGCTCTATACCCTGAGTCATCGCTACTCAAAAAAAAAAAAAAAAAAAAAAAAAAAAAAAAAAAAAAAAAAAGAAGAAAAAAAGAGGAAGATATTAAATGTTTTCTTGCTTTTTTTTAAAAATTGATGTGGACATTTTCAAGTTTGTATTCAGTACTTTTGTCCTTTTAACTATTTAACGGGACAAGTTTCTGATCACTTGTTGGATGAAAAGTAAATAGTCAAAATATTTTTACTCAATTTCATAGTAATGATATTTAACAATATAATGATAAATTATCAAAATTTTGTTATTGAAATTGTAAAAGTACGTTGGGGGGAGGTTTAATCTGTTTGACTTCACATCTTAAATATATTATCTGCAAAATTAAATTTAAAAATTTCTTTCTACAGCTAAACTTCTTATGAGGGCTAGAAAAAGTTCTAAAACATGAACAATTGTACGAAGAAAAGGGATTTCCCCTCTTAATTTGCAAATTAAATTATTGCAAATTATCGTTTTTTTTTTCTGGAATTCTTTTGCAAATTTGTAACTTTTTCCTACGTTCTCCAGATTTCAGCCTTCCTTTTCCGCTTCCAAACAGACTCTAATAGAAAATTTTTATTTTGCTACAATTTTAGAAGATCAGGAAAATCTCAAACAGTGAATCTACCAAACATTCTCGCAGGAGCACGAAACCTCTGCTGAGGGAAGAATTTTTTTTTTTCAAATTTTAATTTCTACTTCTACTTCTTCTGATGGGTTAGAGAAGAAAACAGTTCTTTGCTAGATTTGCAAATCTAGCTAGCTTTTCAAATAAGAAGAGGAATTTCGAAGAGTGCAATTTTCCCCCTCCTAAATTATTTCTCCTTTAAGGCTACACGGTACCCTTTTTTAAAAAAAATTTTTAAGGCCTGTAATATTAAAAGTAATAATAGATTTTCATTTGTATTATATTATTAAACTGATTTTCAAAAAGAAAAGGGAAATCGACAAACCACAATTTAAAAAATTTAAATTTTTTTAAAAAATTCAAGATTTTTTTAAATTTTTATAAC